CTGCGCGGCGCGGGGGGCTGTCACCACTCTGCAAGCTGGGGTGACCCTGATGCCAGGGCTCGTAACAGGCCACCTGCCAGTCAGGAGATCCCAGGCGCGGCCGCGGGGCCGCCGACACGCGCGCACACACACGCACACACACGCGCGCACACACACACGCACGTCCTTTGGGGAGCGGTGGCTCTTCGCGCTAGAGTGATGGAGACGAGGTTTCAGAACGTAGAGAGCCCGTGTGAGCGCTTTGGAGACCTGCCGGACACGGAGATCCACTCTTTACCGTAGTATTTTCGGAAGCGTCATTTGTTAAGTTCTAAAACACAATTGTGACACTTCCTGCACTTGTCTGGACTGGTAGGTCTGAAAAGCTGTTTTAGGGTAGTTTAGTGCCTTGGGGTAGGAAGTCGTCAATTAAGTGCCATGGATATTTAAATTGCAAAATTGCCTTTTAAATTTAATGATTAGTTTATAACTCATGCAAATTATCACAGGCCTAGGGCCTGGAAAGTAATAACCCAGTGTATGAAAGAAGCCAAGTAAAAATTGTAATAAAGATTGACATGATGAGCCAGAGGATTAGGACAATAATCATTTGGCCTATTAATGCTTAGAGTTGATAGATACAGGATAATATACAGCTTGATTTTATCTCAATATAAAATATTCTTGATTTTCCATAAAGGTTCTCTAACCTAATAACTGCAGTTTTGCCCTCAGACATGGCTGTGGTCATTTTAAACCTCAATTTCATTTGGGAAATAGTTACTGAATGTGTTTTTGGCCAGATGTTAGGTAATGGGGATACACAGATTTCCAAAGCATAGCCTTTCTTTCAGGTAGCTCAGAGATTGGCCTACAGTTTAGGTTAATAACTAATAACTAGCATGTATTGTAGTCTTTTTATGGCCAGGTCTGTGCTAAGTACTTTTTCATTAGTTCTCAAAACAGTCCTGCCCTGGCCGGGTGGCTCAGTTGATTGGAGCATTGTCCCCATATACCAAAAGGTTTCAGGGTTTGATTCCTGGTTAGGACACATACCTAGATGGCGTGTTCGATTCCCGGTTGGGGTGCGTATTGGAGGCAACCGATGACATTTCTCTCTTTCCTTTCCTCTCTAAAATCATTAAACATACCCTCCAGTGAAGATTAAAAAAACAAAAACAGCCCTAGCTGGTTTGGTTCAGTGGTTAGAGCATCTGCCTGAGGACTGTGGGGTCCCGGGTTCGATTCCTGCCAAGTGTCCACACCTCAGTTGCAGGGTTGGTTCCTGGCCTGTCAGGGATAGTTTGGGAGGCAGCCAATCGATGTCTCTCTCACATCAATGTGTGTCTCTCTCCCTCCCTCCCTTCCTTCCTCTCTCCCCCCCTCCTCTTCTCCCTCTCTCCCCTCCCCCTCTCCCTACCACTCTTTCTGAAAAGCAATGGAAAAAATACTCTCAGGTGAGGATAAAAACAAAACAAAAAACAGTTCTGCTATTGTATTCTTTTTATCCTCAATTACAATTGGGGTAATTGAGGCCTAGGAACAGTAAATAATTGGCCTAAGGTTACTTAACTTTGTAAATCCCTGTAGCCTCGTTGCCTGTTATCTTAATGACTGCAAATACTGCCTCTTCAAGCTAGATGATGAGTGTGGAAACTTAAATCTGTCTCTGAGGGTTTAGGGAGGCTTCCTAAGACAGTGACATTTGAGCTGAGTCTTGAGGGACACTCAGGATTTTTACCAGACAGAGGGAACATCGGAGGCATAGAATGGGACACACAGTATGCTTAGGAAGTTTGAGATGTGTCTGGAGTAAAAGAGGATATGTGGGTAGTGGAGGTCATGGGTGATAGGCTGGAAAGGTAGGTTGGAGCCAAGCCTCATTTTCTATTCTAAAGAAAATTTCCTTTATTCAGTAGCAGAGGGTTAGCCAAGGGAGCTTTTTAAGCAGAAATGAAATGAGATCATGTCCTTTAGGTTATTTCTTTCTAGGATGACTTGAATGATGGACTGGACAGTTGAGAGATGAGACAAGGATAGCAGTTAAGATGGTGGTAATGTTGTAGGCGGTGGGAATGGCACTGGGTGTTAGTCGGTTGGGGTCAGACCAGACTTGGGTTCAGCAACCTCAGTACTTGGGTTCTGGCTAGGAAAGAATTCAGAGCCAAGACCCAAACTATAAGAGAACATTTATTTGGTAAATCACAGAGGTAGAAGAAGTAATTTGTAGAAGAAATAATTTGTAAAAGAAGTGGGCTTAGGAAACAAGTTATGAGGCAAAGGAGGTCCTCCATCTTTAGGGTTTTAAGGGTGTAGATTTTAGGGGATGTCCCAGAGGAAGATCTCATTATAATATTCAGCAGCTTTCCAGGTGTGTTCTTTCAGGGTTGTGGTCTCCACTGGTTGATTGGTTGGCACCAGGTGGGTCATTATCCAGTGCAGGTGGTCCCGCGGTCAGCTGTGGCTGGTTTTGTTGCTTCTCTGGGCCTGAAGCTGAAATACAGTTGAGGCCTAGATGGAATACAATTGAGGCCCTTTGGGGAGGAAAGGTCAGAGGGTCCAAACCATGTGACCAGTGATAGCTAGGGGAGGAAAGGCCGCCCTGGCCTCTGGGGTTGTCATTTACAAGACACCTGGGGTTTTCCACCCAGTGACCTGTACCTGGCCCATAGTCCTTGCTCTACTCACATCTGTCTAACTGCCCAGCACAGTAACATTATCTAGGCAATATGTGTGTATATAATGGCAATGGGAATGGATTAAGAGAGAAAGATTTGAGGGGCATTTTTTAGGTAAAATTGTCAGGCTTTGGTAACAAAGGGTTTTTGTTGGTGAGGGAGTGGTTGGATTCAAGGGTGACTCATTAATTCCTTCTTTCATCATGTAGTTATTGAGTGCCCCCTATTTGCCAGCCCCATGCTAGTCACTGGCCTAGACGGTGCATATACAATGATGAACAAAATTGACTAGGTTCCTGTTTTTATGAACCTTGTATTTTGGTGAGACAGACATTAAAAAATAAAGAAATGGCCCTGGCCCGTGTGGCTCAGTTGTTTGGAGCATTGACCCATACACTGAGGGGTGGCGGGTTTGATTTCTGGTCAGGGCACATACCCAGGTTGTGGATTCAGTCCCTGGTGCAGGCCAGTGCGGGGGGCAGCCTTATTGATGTTTCTCTCTTCCCCTCTGTAAAATCAATAAAAAATTATTAAAAACAGCTTTTAAAAAAATAATAAAGAAATAAGAAAATATATAATTACAAGTTGTGATGAGTGCCATGAAAGAAAACAATAGGAAGAGAGTAACAGGGAGCATCTGCTTTAGGTTGAATAATCGGGGGAAGTGTGAATTAGGCAAAGACCTGCTGGATGAGAAGGAGGGGCTAGCTGCTCAGGGTGTGTGTGTGTTTAGGGGAGTTTGGAGCAAGAGAGGCTAGAGGAGGAGAGAGAGTCTCAGCAGAGGGAAGATCCTGAGGAGATTTGCTTTGTTTTAGGAAGTGAAGGAAGATGTGTGTGGTCGGCATGTTGTGATTGCGGAGGAGACTGTAAGATAAAGTTGGAGAGTTAGGGAGCCAGTCTTGCAGGATCTTAGAGGTTATGGTTAGGAGATTGGATTTTATTCTAAATTCAATGGGAAGCAGTTAAGATGAGCACTTTTGTTGTCTGGAGAATGGATTGAAGAGAGGAAAGAGCTGAAGCAGGCAACTAGTTAGGAGATTCTATAACAAAAAAGAAGTGGTAATAAAGAGAAGTGGTTGGATTCCAGTTGTGCTTTGAGGTAGACTCTAGAGGATCTGTTGGTAGATTAGAGTAGGGGATCAGGGAAAGGGAGACTAAAAGATGGCACCTAGCTTTCTGGAGTCCTGGGGTAATTTTCTGACACTCCATGGGGTTGATAAAGATTGACTGAGTGGGTGGAGAGTCACTCTCCATTTGGGCGTTTAGACTTGAGATGTCTTTGGTCCTTCAGTTGGAGTTGTCAAGGTGAAACTTGTATTTGTGAGTATAGTGTTCAGAAGAGAAGTGAGGGCTTATCAACTTTGTGAGACCCAGTATCCCCTTTATATAGCAGATATTTTGAAATCCACCCTTTACTATCTTGGCATGATAGTAATAGCTAATATAACCTACCTGTGCTCACAATTTAAAAAAGTCAATATAATGCTCTAACTTTAATAAGACAGAAATAAAATTATTTAATATGTGTTTCAATATGGAAGTACTTGTTCATGACCACAGTAGAAGGCATGAAGTAATCAGATTGAGTCCATGAATATTTTCTGAACTTTTGTATATATCAGATAGTATACTGGATATCGTACAGCATACTGGGGATATAGCAGTGAATAAAGCACAATTTTTTTAGTCATGGAATTTACATTTGAGTGGGAGTAGGGAGTTCATAAAGAAGATAATTAAGTAAAAGATAAAGTATGCTAGATGGTGAGACGTGCCCCATGTGGAGAAAAAACACAGCAGGGATGCAGAGTAAGAGAATGCCTGACCTATGTGTAAAATCACATGAATATGACTGCTCCTTGGACAGTGAGACGGTTGTGTAGTTTCTGCATCTCAGGCCTTCATCGCCATTGGCTTTATGATTTTCCAAAATAGTCAACTCACGGGAAAACAGAGTTGTCTCTTAATGTACACGATGGCTGTACTTCTTGATAATTATGTATATTCTAACCCCATCATACTACATTTATCTGTAAAACTGAGTTAGTTAGGTTGTAGATAGGTTTTTCAGCCGTGTGACTATCTGGTAGGACGTGGCAGGAGACAAGTCTTCACTGTTGGGTACTATATTGCATTGGAGAACAGTACCTCTGGCCTTCCTTATTAAATAGTTCTACTATTTGTCCCCGAAACACCCCTAGAAATTTCTAAAGTTTCCTTAGAAGTTAGTTCTATCCATTTTGCAAATTTCCAGCTTGGGAGATAGGGAGAGGACAGAGGGATGGATCCTTGAAAAACTTGACATTAAGTACTTTTTAGAGGTGGAGGGCTAGGCGAAGGAAGCTGAGGTTGTCATCTAGTGGGTAGGTGATAAATCAGGAAAGGAATGTCTCAGAAGGCAAGAGAGGAAATTTCTGGAAAGAGAAATCTCTCAATTGTTCAATGCACTTGAGAGGTCAAGTACGAGGACAAAGAAATCACTGGGTCGGACTCCATGGAAGTTGTTAAAGACCCTGGTGAGGAGAAGCTCATGCTCTAGTGGAAACGAGGGCTAAGGTACATGGAAGATGGGGAGGTGGGCGTGGTGTGGATAGACCATGGTGTCCGGAAGTCCGGCTCTG